CCCACCCCAACCCCCCCCACACACGCACGCGCGCGCGCTCACGCTCACACGGCCCGTGCGATCCCGCTGTGATAGTGCGCGGCGGAAGAGTCATCTCCCGAGAGACAGTCTAGAGACAGGCTCACTCCCCTAGCCTGAGACCGCCGCACTCCTCCGGACATGCAGACACCGGAGCGGGCCGGTGCGTCGTGGGAACCCGGACGTGTCGCAACTGAGAGGCTCCATCATCACACCAGTGGAGGGGATCGGCGCCGGGACTTATCACGTCAGTTGAGGAGATTGGCGCCGGGACTCATCACTCCAGTGGAGGATATCGGCGCCGGGACTCATCCCGCCAGTGGAGGAGATCGGTGCCGGGACTCATCCCGCCAGTGGAGGAGATCGGCACCGGGACTCATCACGCCAGTGGAGGAGACCGGCGCCGGGACTCATCACGCCAGTGGAGGAGACCGGCGCCGGGACTCATTACGCCAGTGGAGGAGACCGGCGCCGGGACTCATCACGCCAGTGGAGGAGACCGGCGCTGGGACTCATCACGCCAGTGGAGGAGACCGGCGCCGGGACTCACCACGCTAGTGGGGGAGATCGGCGCCGGGACGTGTGGAAGAGCTGCTCGGTCCGTCTTGAAGGGTGCTGCGCTTCCCCGAACAGGGCAGCATGAAGGCGAGGGCCAACAACAGTGCCTTGGTCTGTCAACAAGGACTCTGCAAATTGGTCACAATGGTACCCAATATCATGAATGGAATGTCGCGGTAGCACACTGTGGGAACGCCCTACCATTCTTAGAATGTTGCAAGCATTGCAGGGAACCGGGCAGCCAGACCACTCGCGAGTCGCACAGAACGGCCGCTGCTTAGCTGTTACATGGCCTTTCATCACACATGGCATCACACGATAACGAGCCAAGATCAGCTTTCTTGATTGCTTGACTGGGTCCCAGGAGCACACTGCTTGACTTGTCATCATTGACTCGCGTCTGCAAGCAGCAGTTCGGCTCAGTTTTCCTCCCGTCATTCTTTGTCTGGCTATCCGGTTTGCTCGGTTGGGTACCGCATACTCTGTCACCGTTCGCCCGTGTGACTCAGTCAGGGAATGATCGGCATGCTGGTATTGGTACCAGTTTTTACAACCAGTTTTAACTATTTTTTTCTTACGTGTACAGCTGGTACTTGACCAGTAAGAATCAGTTTTTACAAAAGGTGCAAGTACCAACCTTTTCAACGAAACATTGTCTTTGAAAAAGCACGCGAAGTTGTACGCCAGAACCCTGGCCGGGATGATGCACACGAAAATTCAGCGACGCCCCAATGGCTTGTGGGTTTTCATCATTGACTATTGCATTTCAGCTTAAGCGAAAGTTCTTACTTTATTTGACTGCAATGACCCTCATTCTAGTTAATCCAGGGGGTTACTGGGCCCAGTTTTGACCAAACACATGGGCTTAAATTGGCCGTTTTAAGTGACTGCTGAGGCGTTTGAGATGGTAAATGTTCCATCGCTGACAGTGCGAGATGTCGGAAAGGTTTGGCTGGACCAGGCTTGCCCAGTATGCGTTGGGTCAGGTTGCACTGGGCTGACATCGCATTGTGTTACCAATGATATCCTGGCGAGTGTTGTCCTTGACAATCTCATTAGAAAAATACATTTTTCGCACCACCCTGTAAGGATTTGGTAGGCTCGACTCGGGTGCTTGATGACTCCGCCCCAGGCCCCGACTGGTATGACTCGGACTCAGACGTGATCGTTGTTTGCGAAAAATGGCTGGCTTAAACTCAAGGTCTTAGAACGGTGAATCATGCATGCGTCAAGGGTGGGTTCGGGCCCAGTGCTGGTGCGTTAGGAAATCACTCACGTTTTCGGCAAAATGCTTACGTCATTGGGAAGCCGGTGGGGTGGGGCCGCCCCGGGGGCCACTGCAGTTTATCTAGAGGACGTTATCGCCCATACGGTCGTTATTCCGAGCTATCAGCAAGAGTTGGGATCAGCAGCAGTCCGACTCCTTTATGATAAGTCCTCTGCATCCTGCAGGGGAAAGGATTAACTTGAAACCTCGAGAATTTGTATGCTATGTGCTTGCATCACCAGTGCCTCCTTGGGGATAACATCTGGGCTAGGGAGCAGCGAAGGCAAGCTGTAGCCGAGGCTGCGCCCAGAGAACCACACAGCTCATAGCAGGCGACTCGGAGCGTGTCCGGTTCAGTTCGGAGCGTGTCCGGTTTGGAGCGTGTCCGGTTCAGTTTGGAGCGTGTCCGGTTCAGTTCGGAGTGTGTCCGGTTTGGAGCGTGTCTGGTTGAGTGCGGAGCGTGTCCGGTTCAGTTGGAAGCGTGCCCGGTTCAGTTCGGAGCGTGTCCGGTTCAGTTTGGAGCATGTCTGGTTTGGAGCGTGTCCGGTTCAGTTTGGAGCATGTCTGGCTCGGAGCGTGTCCGGTTCAGTTCGGAGCGTGTTCCGTTCGGAGCGTGTCCGGTTCAGTTACCGCGCAGCCGATTCCTCGCTTCCCTGTCATAAACATGGGGCAAATCTCAGCCCACAACGCAGACTGACCCAAAGGCTGAAACCGCCACGAAGTGCGCCGCGCTCAGGCGCGCAAGCACGCGCAGCACACCGCAGCGCGCCCAGTCCACCAGTGTCAGTCAACGCGGGCATATCTCCGGCTTACATCGCGGCTCCGACTGCAGCGGCGGCAGCGGCTGCGGGGGGGAGGGGGCGGGGGGCATGCGCTGGCATTTTGCAGCGCCCGGTGCAGGCGGCGGTAAGCTTCGCGGCAGGACTGATTGACCCTTGGCATTTGCAGGGCGTATCGCGACTGCTGGCTGGGGCGCGGCTGGGGCGTCTGGTGATGACCTTCGCGCGCGCAGGACGGGATCGGGGACACCAGACCGCTGGCGGAGTGGGGCTGGGCTTGGGCAGCCGGGGCTCCGATCGAACGGCAACGGATCTGGCTGGATGTTGATGGCATACACCAGCATCTAGAGAGTCGTTGCATACATTCTGCGTCCTGGCCGTTTGCTGAGATGCAGATGGAACCGCTGTCAGCTGGACATTGACAATGCAACTATTTCGCTATACAAAGTGGCATGTTTGTTTTGATATCTGCTCGTTGATATTCTGTCGGTTCCGATTGAGCATTCGGTCAGAGGCTTCGCGTGGCCCTGACCTAGTTGCACGCGCACACAAGCAGCAACTGCCGCTGCCGCTGAGCTGTGCACCAGACGATAACACTTGGGCCGCACCCACGCGCCCCTTATCGACAACAGCATGCCTGACGTCTGGGTGGCCTGGGTACGACAGCGACGGTGACCGGGCGAAATCCCGTAGCTTGAGGCCAAGTCCCCGTCACAGACCGGGCGGTCATAACTGCGTCATAAAACACAGTGAGGGTGATACCGCCTGGGCCCGGCCCCGCGAAACCCCGCCGCCCCCCCCCCCCCTCCCCCTCCCCCCTCTCCCTCCCCCGGCCCCTGGTCGGTGACGGGAAGCCGCAGACGGAGTCAGATTGGCGGTTGTTATTATGGCGCCCGTGTTTTCCGATGTGATGTACACGATCGTGTCCGAGCGGTGCCGTAAGCGACACCACACGTCACAGGCCTGTGCGTGAGCGCGTGCTCTCGCCGGTCACGCGTGACATGCAAACGCTAAGTTATGATCCGTCCAAGCGGCGCGCGGCGGTCCGTGCGGTGCTGCGGCGTGACGTTCACCGCGTGCCGTGGCGCAGCCGGCGGGCCGGCGGGGCCGCCAGACGCCCGCCGGCTGCTCGCCCCTTCCATGCCAGCTGGGGGTCATGACATGTGCGGCCCGGTGCCGCGTGGGTTCAAGTGTGCGGGTTGGATTGGCTCGCAGAGGTGGTCGAATGGATCCTCCGGTCAGGCGCGGCTGGGGGTTACGGGGAGATCTCGTGTTCACCGATAATCAATACGACGGCCCATGTCGGGGCTTCCATCGGATGCAACGCAACACTGCGACGGAAGAGAAACATCGCCTGTTGGTGTGGCTGGAACGTTTTTCGGACTTGTTACCGGCTTCCGTCGAGCATACGGCGCATGAGACAGGTCATATGTACAATCGCATCGTTACATTTTCATACTGTCTCCACCGTCAACTCCGTCGTACGGTTTTAAGGCGCGTCATAAAGACGGGGCGTATAGTTCCGCCACGTTAATTCATGGCTTTTAATCCGGCGCCTCACTCTGGAGCGGTCGTGTCAGGGCGTGATTGCTGTTTACAGTGTTGGGATAAGGGCTGTGCATTCTCGTACCGGGTTGTGCTGTTGGCAGTCTGTGCGCATTAAATGCCACCGGAACTGACGGGATCATCGCCTGGTGCCCCTGCTGTGCCTCAGTGTGTCGGTCACTGCTGCAGCGCGAGCGGAGGCCGGGTGCTATAAGCAATACGGGCTTGTCTCTTGTCTCAGTGTGTCGGTCACTGCTACAACGCGAGCGGAGGCCGGGTGCTATAAGCAATACGGGCTTGCCTCTGTGATGCCATCCCGCCGCCGGCACTGAACTGGCCCAACGGTGTAGTGCTATGGCATTACGAGGATGCTTAGCTGCAGGACACAGAACTGATCCGGCGCCAGCTGATAACCTGAGCTAGCTGGCTGAGCGCGAACCCTGACTCATCCAGTCCGGCCGGAACATGCCGGCACTGGCTGAGTGCGGAACCCTGACTCATCCAGTCCGGCCGGAACACACCGGTGCTGGCTGAGTGCAGAACCCTGACTCATCCAGTCCGGCCGGAACACACCGGTGCTGGCTGAGTGCAGAACCCTGACTCATCCAGTCCGGCCGGAACACACCGGTGCTGGCTGAGTGCAGAACCCTGACTCATCAAGGTCATCACCCATCATCGAGTCCGGATGGGGCTTTAACCTCAATAACCTCAATGTTCGCTCTTTGAAGTTCTCGATGACGACATCAAGAACTTATCAACTAACCTCATTGTTAGTGTGAGATCGCGATAACCCTGGGGTTGACGACGAGCACTGACTTGAGCTCTCTTTTCAGGCTGGCGGAGATCGAGCAACAGCTGAGGCAGAGGAAGCTGTCCCAGGCTCAAGAGGACACGGCCAAAGAAGAGCTGGACGACATCAAGGAAACGCTGAAGAGACATGAGACAACCTTGAGCAATCTGCGGAGGGAGAACCAGAAGTCTTTAGCGATGGTGATTGTCTTTATTCTCATCTTCGGATCACTGTACCTGATGTTTACCGTTCTTAAACAGGCCGGTTGGCTATAGCTGCGTGAGATTTCTGACAACAAGCATCTGTGTAAGGGACCTCAAAGCCCGCAGTCGCAACGCTGGCCTTTTAGGCGGGCGCTCGATTATGTCTTCTCTGATCTCGTCAAGAAACCAGGAGCTATTTGCCTTTTCGATTGGACCCGGTGTGTATTGATCGTTGCAATTTGACCAACATGTGTGGGGCGTTTAGATCATCTGGGCAGTTCATCAATGCTGGAAGGACGAACTGACACCGTAGCGGATCATACCAAATGTGCAATCACGATCATGTCGTGAATGTCTTCCTGGATAGACTTCGCCTGCTCGTGGAGCGTCAGGATCCGTGCAGGCGCAGTTTCGGGTGGTGTGATATGCGGTGGCCGGGAAGAATATAATAACTTGTTAAAAAATGAAAGAGCTTTTGCGAGATTCGTTAAACTAGCTTTTTGTAGTCGACTCCATCACATACACCGCATGAAACGGCGCAATTTAGACCATTTTACCGATGATTTCTTTGAACAAATTATTATTTTTTTGTTTCGTAAAGCAGCGCATCTGTGAACTTGATTGCCTGACACCATTAACATTGGTTCAAGGGATATGTGATCCGTTTTCCTGTCTTGTCATTGCCGTGATTAGTTGTTTGAGCTTTGCGAAGCCGTCCACTTTTGACCATCGTTCTGTTCGCGGAATAAACATTGGAGCAGACGTGACGACATGAGCACGAAATAAGGTGACGAGCCAACTTCCGCTGGCGTGAATTAACAGAGCATACCACAGTGCTGTGACCATCACATTTTGCCGTCTGGCTCGTGACGAATGGGAGTCAAGACCGAGTAAGTCACCCTGTAACTGCCGGATCGTTTTATTCAGCGCGGCAAACTGGCCAGACGGTGCGGTGGTCACAAGCGGAGAATTGCCAGCCCGGAAGACATATTTGTGCGGTTTTTAAAGTATACACAGGCGCTCACACGCCGTGTGCCTTTTCATTCTTTTCGGGACAACCCGTTACCGGAAAAAGTGCAAAATTCCAGTTGGAACATCTCGACCTGTTTGTTACTAACTGATGAGCCGTAATTGATAAGGTGCTCTCTGTGGGCCTGACAGCGTAGTTCGACGCAGGCGAGCTGAATATGCAACCGGTGTGGGCAAACAAGCCGAAGACTGAGCACTACGTCATCCCGGACTTGCAAGTCACTCCAGAGTTCGTTAGTTATTCATTTGACATCAGCTAACAGTCCAGACACAAATGCGTAGCATTATGTGTCATTTGTCAGAGACTTAATAACACGCGCCCAAGTGGCCGGTTAAATACCCTTCGCTCGGATAAATGGTCAATTTGACCCCTCAGATCTCAAAAACTTGAAAGCTAGAGACACCAACTTCACAGGGTGTGTTAGTCGGTATATGAGCTAAATTGTGTTAAAATTTGATATTCCTAGGTTGTGACCTTCGGGTTAAATGACGCAAAATACGGTCAAACTCCAGATTGGTGTCTAGAGCGCCCTCAGACCTTCTCATGCAACCGCCATAAACCTAGATTCCTGTTCAAAGTAAAACGTCACAGGTGCTCATTGAAGGTCAGTGACCTTATTTGACTTTTAGAAGATCATGGTGACTAAAATCTGGCAAGACTGCTTTGATTTTGTTTTTTGAATAGGCGCCAATGATAACGCGAGGCGACATGCTCTTAAAAAAATGTTGACTTGGGCCTTGTTGTCTTGACTTAGGTCAGTGACCTATTCTGACCTTTAAGAGGTTTACGATGCATGATGCGGTCTCTGTTAATGATTATTGTCCTTGTTTTGACTTTCGTACCTGACTCCAGACTGGTGTAATTTGTTAATTTACATGTATTGTTGCCTAAGAAACCATCTCATAAATGTATGGCCTCGTCAACACTCCGTTGTTGCATCAGATTGAACGATTCCATAGAAACCGCTTTCGCTTGATACACCTGACTTTGACCTGCCATATGTCAGCGACCTTACAAGCTAAAATAAATTTTTGACATCAAAAGGTCTGCTATTCAATTGCCTACACTTATGCAAAATTTCTCGCGGCTATGCTGCGCCGTTCGGAAATCATTCCGGAAAAAGCTTTGAGGGGCTCAAGTCGTGTCCCACTGGTACCCCCACCTAACACCTCCACCCAAGCGCGTGTTAAACGGTGAGTCAAGACAGCGGAATGTGATATTGGATAGAAACGTACAAACGCATAACGATAAAACGGTGCGCTGAAACTTGTCTGATCCAGTCGCCTGACGTCCCCCGGCTATTGGTCCAGGCCGCAAGTCACGCGAAAGACCGGCGTCCTGCCGCTGCGCGCATCGCCGGGGGGGGGGGGGGGGGACAGGCTCCGATCCACGCGGGTGGTACGCTCGCGGGTCCGCGTGTCGGCGTATGTTGGAAGTTGTGGGGCGAGATCCGCAGCTTCGCCTCGCTCACGGGCTTCATGCGCAGTAGGAACAGTCTAGGCGTCACACATGTGGCGTGGCGTGACGGGGCGCAGGTCATTCCCCGCGCGAGACATATGATCGTGCCATCGGAGGCTATTAGCTACTCCGATCACGAAGTTAGCTATTAGCTACTCTGATGACGAAGCTACGTTCAGCAGTCAGGTGTCATTAAGAGCTGACTCGCGGCTATAACCTGGCATGCAGTATCTCAGGCGGCAGATGACTAGACCCCGCACGATGTTCAGCAGTACTCGTTGCAGGAGGAAATGCCTCAGGTGGCGAAGACGGATCAGCAGCCCAATGCGCTTTGATGCCATATCACTGACGTGTGCGTCCCAGCTCAGGCGAAGGTCAAACAGGACACAAAAGTGTCTTACTGGGTAGCTCCCCCCACCGACGCGCATGCTGCCAGGGGAAAGAGCGCGGGTTTTCTGTCTGTGGCCCAGGAAAGGGAGTTCCGTTATGCTTGCTTGGGATGATTTGAGCTTGGGACCGTGGAAATGAAACCATGACGGCAGGGAGGGCTGTGTGGTTTCCATGCTTTGGGTGGGGAAGAAAGGCTGTGTCTGGCATCGTATACAAAGATTTGAGTGTCGTCGGCACACTGGGGCATATGAACGTCTGGCGTGTGCGGGCGGGGGTCGCTGGCGGAGATTGTGAATAAAAGAGGACCGAGGGCTGATCCCTGGAAAACAGCCGCGGTATTAGCAACGGGTTTGGAAACCACTGTCACCAGAAGGAAAGATGCGGTACTGGCTGGGAATGGCCAAAAAGGTATAAGGAGAGCCAAGACGGATCAATGTGACCGAGCTGGAGCCTGGAAAGCAGTCGAGAATGAGAACAACGCAACAACCTTTGTTGAGACCCAAGAGGCATAAGTGAGAAAGATGGCCACGGTCCCTGTTGGAAAACATGCGGTTAGTCGCGGAGAGCAGGGCAGTCTCCGTTGAATGGCGGGACGGAAACCATGGGATGAGGACAGAAGGTAATTGACAGACATGCACGCAAATACCTGGTGCTGCACCACACGCTCCACAACCTTGACTGTAATGGGGACGGCGGAGATAGGATGGTAGTTGGGTTGGGCCGCTGTATTTGAAAATATGAATCATAAAGCGCTCCCAGGGAACGGGTAAATCGCAAGAAATGAGGCAGATGTTGACAATATGGAGACTGATGGAGTCGGTTGCGTCAAAACAAAGGAGCTGCCTTTGAATGTTATTTGTATTCGTGTCCTGCTGCAGGACACGAATACAAATACCATCAGGCCTACATGTCATAGGACACTTCATGGAGAACAGGACCCCGTACAGCCCGTCTAGTGTCGTGCCAGGCATCCGGAGGCCACAAGCGCCCACTCTGGGCGGGCGACGTGGGACGTCCGGTGGCTGCCTGAGACCGGCCAGACCGGCTGCATCACGAGCGACGACATCCTCAGACTAAACGCTGGGGATAGCGTCTGGGGCAGCGGGGGTGGATTGTCTGGGTAGCCCGTCTGGGGTAGCGGCAGATAGATTGCGAGTACTGCTCTTTGCCTCAGCTTACACTGCATGGATAGTGCGGCACAGAGAACTGCTCCCCGCTCACGCAGTCTCTTCCCTCTCGACCAGCGTGACTACCGGGCGACCAGCACCCGGTAGTCACTCTGGTCGCCGACCTCGCCCTCCGGTCCAGCTCGCGGAAAACCGGCGTCCTCGCAGTTCATCGAAGGCTGTTCACTTATTGCTGCACTTGTAAGATTCGTCACGTCACGGTCCCGCTTTGCTCGGGCGTGCGACAACCGCGTCGTAATGTCGGCTGTGGCTCATGTCTATCAACAGCTGAAATGTTGCACATCCAGGCCTGTTATTTGAAAACACTGCGTCCCAATTAACAGAAAGTAATTGGTTCCAGCCATTGCACTCACTAATCTTACACAAATTATCCAAGGTCGGGCGTCCTATCCATCGCATCGCATCTTCACTACCGGAGAGCACGAAAACATCCCCGTTGCAGTTGATCCATGGTGCCAACGGTCTCCGACGGTGGTACAACTACAGCATGAATAAGGTACCCTCGGGCTCCAGTGCGCCTCGGCTCTCGGAAGCCACGCCTGGAACTTCAAGCTGTTGCGCAGCTCAAAGCTGCAGTGCGGAACCATCCTGATTCGGTCGCGTGCCCTGACAGGAGCACGCGGCCAACAGGGCAGAGGGATGGAGTGATCAATTGCTGGTCATTCGTTCGACGGTGTGGTAGCGGAGCTTGGCCGGAACCGAAGGTAGCTTAAGTGGTTGTTGGTCGGTTCTGTTCGTGTAGCACGCAAGTAGATGGCAGGCATGTGCGGCTATTTGGCTCTAAATCAGCGAAGTGTAACAAATAAAAATCAAGGAATCAGTTGCGGCCTGTATCCTTCCAAACATTTAGTTCTAGGCTTCTTACTCAATAAATCTCTAGGATCCATGCCCACGCTAGGAGGCGCTTTTTGCGTAAATCCTGAAATCACCATCCGATCGTGAAATTCCGGATTAACGGAAAATTTCTACAGCGAAAGCCTAAGGTGGCGGGATGGTTGGCGTTGTCCGTTTGAATGAGGCATGCCGCTTGTGCCGCACGTTTACAATGTACTGCTGGGTCAGGTTTGCAAACAGGTTCTAGAATGACAAAGCAGACAAACTGCATTTGTGAACCTCCCTTTTATTGATGATGAACCACGCACAAAAGGTCAATGACGCCATGCGATCAAGCAATTTGCACGGCCCTAGTGTGGCGTGGACTAGGGCCCTAGTTTAAAGCTAGTGCGATCAGCGCTGGGGGCCCCAACGCGTCCAGCTGCGGGTAGGATTCCCCATACACGTGTTGGTGGACTGAAAGGAAAATGCACGCGGAAGAGCGTAGTATTCGTAAAGTATCGTTATAACATCTCGATCGTTGTGTACAACATCCCTTGTAACTCTTGCGGCGGAATATTCCATGTGGAGAAAACAAAGCGTATCATTCGTGACCGACTTAATGAACACCTTGGAGAGGCATATTTGCGAAACGGGAGCGTACGCAACACAAGACAAACACAGAATAGACTCGCCACACAGCAATGAAGCATAATGCAACAATTACAAACTTCAAAATATAAATTTTGGCATTAGCTAAGGGCAATGCGTAAATAAAGATCGCAGAATTGCTGCACATTCGCAACCTTTGTCCGGGGCAGCACTCGTAAACATCATCATGGTATCTGGCCTGAGGAAAATTGTTTGAGATATGCATGTTTAGAA